AAGCACAACTAGGCGGAAATCCCGAATATTCGGTACTTACTGCGTGAAAAAATCAGAGTATTAACCGAAAAACGTTTTTCGAGAAAAAAAATTCTCCTAAATAAAATAAATGGTTTTTTCGATACACTTGTACCGCGTTGCGTATTAGTATTCCGGTATCTGTTTTGTCACCCAGGTCGATTCTAATGGATCGATTCCAATGTCCGCGTTCGTGTTTTATCATACGCGTGCGGTATTGATGCCGTTATCAATGAAATATTACCTCGTCTTAAGGGACTTAAGCCACTTCCGTTCCTCACAAACTCCGCGGACTTATATCGAAAACAACCATTGATTTTTAATATAAAAGCACGTTAGGTGAGTCAAACAGAACAAATTACGGGGAAAAAAGCGAAAAACAACAAATTTGTAGGTTCCGTAATCGTTGGGTATTCAACATCCGACATCGATGGTTTATATGCCGTGATAACTATATTATAATATGCACCGGTCTTTCTGACCGGTCTTCAATTGTAACCGGACAAGCAGATTGTTTACGGAATATTTTTTTTTTTACCGGTTCAACAGCTCTGCAAATTATACGTAACTGTACTCGGCCCGACAACTCGTCGGCTCGATTGACCCTGCGTGCCTGATAAAAAATAATGACGTTTTTTCGTTTTGCAGGACGTCGTTTATTTATTTTTCGTAAATTGTACACGCGCCCGTAGGCCGGCATTTATCGGTTCTGTAAAGTCGCGCGCGGCCCGACGTCGGTCCGCGTACACAATACGGGCACGCCGCGCGCCGTATTACGGACGCGTACCGGATTGCGCCGCGCGATCAATACGATAAACGGGGAGCGCGCGTCGCACGTTATCCGGAGTGATGGGCGCGATACCGACGGTACGGATAACACGGCCGAGGCGAAACTGGCGGATAATCTACGCCGGATTCTACCCGGTCGATCGACTAAACTACTAGGCGGTACGGTACGCGCGTAACGTTTCGCAGGACAGAAATCCGGTCGCCCGTCTCCGGCGACGGCGAACGATAATAATATAATCAAATAATATGTACGGGTGTAAAATCTCCGTTCGCGTCTTTTCGGCGGCGGCCAGAGCGACTAATGAAACGGACGACAATAATGACAAATGTATAAAACGGCCCGAGCGGTGTATCGAATGGAAACACACGGCCGCTACGTAATACGTACGTACGTATTGATAAATAAAAAAAATCGCGTTTCTTCGGCGGAATGTGTGTCGAGTAGGCCAGCGCCTAAATAATAAATACGGTACACCGTGCGAGATGCGCCGGCACAATTATCGCCGTTACCGCGTGTCCGGACGCGAATGTGAAGTTATTAATTCGTACACCCGTAACGGGTGTGCGATGCACGGGGAACGCAATGCGACGCGCAACACACGCGGTGTTCGCGTCTATACAGAGTGCGATGGGCTTTCCGGGCGTACGGCACACGGCGTTACCGCGGATAGGTTTTGTCGGCTTTTAAATTTTGATTGTCCGGTTGAAACGGCTTTCGGAGGCCATTATTCGTCGCGCGATGATGCCATACCGCAGGCAAGACGCGTATTAAAATTAACAGAAACGAAACGTACGGCTAAACGGCCGGACGAAACCGGATGTACCGAAAAGATGTTACATTTACACGTGTACAAGACGTACGTCCGTTTCGGACGTAGCTCCGGTTTTCGCTTCCACCGCCGTATTCGGGTCTGTTTCGAAATTTCCTGCGTACGTCGAATCCCGGCGTATTCCGTGACATGTTCAGAGCCCGTTCGAAATCGCCCGTTCTCGGATAGGTTTTACAAACCCAACCAATGGTTGTGTGAGATCACGGACTAGGCTGCCATTTTTGGTTTTCGAGAAGATCCACGGGGCGCGCCATTCCCCGGTTGCGTTCGGAAACTATCGAGGCCCGTTATTGTTGCGAAACCGACTTTTTTCCGTTTTTCATCGTCTTGCCCGCTACTTCGTGTAAACTGCACGCACCTAGTCCATCCCTTGTCGTCTTAATTACTTTTCGTTTTCATCAATCAATCTTTATTTCGTTCTCCTATCAGTTTCTTTTGTTCTTCTAAACCCAAAGCATCGTCTATTTGTGGAATATCGATTACCATTTGTGAAACCAAGAGTTAGTACATGATGGTTTCACTGGGTACCAAACTGTCAACAAATTAACAGAGACAATAAACGTCAATATAACGTTTTAGAACTGCGAGGGTTATAAAAAAAAAATATTTCTATTAAGACTTTAAGATATTTGATCATCCTGTATACTGACTACTAAGTAGGATACAATATGCGACTTTGTGCATTTACAATAATTTAGTATAGTAATATAATATTATTTCGTCAATAGCACTATCCATCTAATCCCGATTTCACGCGCCACTTGAATATTTCGTCGGAAATAATATAACAATCAATAGTATAGTGTCGAGGATAAACTCCAACCGATAATTTTTTTTTCATTTTTTTTGTCTAACGTATCTAACTGTCGTACCCGGAAACAACTATACCATTAACCCGTTCAATTGGAATAATTAAATAATAGTGTATATTATATTACACGATTTAAAATCACGGAAATATTTAGCGTATATCTATATAATGTTAAACTCTCCGCGAGGACGATTGACTGCTATGCCGTATATTAGATATAATATTATTATGTTACTTTTCTTTGCGCATCACAATGACAAAATTCTCGCTCTACTTCGCTTATTGACCATAATCGTATTATTATTATATATTGTTTTCGTCCTTGATATAAAAACAAAACGCAAACATTCCTTAAGAAAAATATAAACCACGCCGTTGAAAAAAAAAAACAATATAAAATATAAGATAAAAAACATTTTTTTAAAAAAAATCGTTTAATATTTATGAATATTATTGCGAATTACTGCGACTAAAAAAATAATGTCAATTTTGTTCAAACCCAGTGTTGATTAAATTTTCCTAATATTTCGTCCATTTGATTTTCCCTCATTATCAAGAAGTATAAAAAAGTTCAAGGAATTTGAAAAATTTCACTCCCTCGATGTATTGACGGTTTACCAGCAAAAACTGAGTTGAAGAAGATTGTATCATTTTCTAGGTGTTACGAAGATTGGATCAAATCGCAAAACAGTGTAAAATAAAGTAACTGATGAATATTTTGTGTTATCTGTTTGCTGCGAAAATAATAACTATCTAGTCAACTGGTCGAAAAAGTATAGATTATTCTGGAATTATTCAAGAAACTGAGAGCATGTATAACTTTATAAATCATAACACTGAAAATATATTTTATTTCATAAACTAATTTGAAAGTACTGTACTTTTTACTGTTTACCATAGAGTTCGTTTTTTTTTTCTATAAACTAAAACAAACAAATCAAACAAATCAAAAAATTCGTCTTAGATGTTTTTAGGCTCTCGAAATGTCCCCCTACAGATCGCTCTCTTTGAGGTACTCGAAAATAATTTTTAAAAACCAAGTAGAATAGTACAGTAATTAATATTGTTTTTGCGTGATTAATAAAACGACTTGCACTCTCCATTCCCGAAGGAACATTAATCTGTCACACGGATGAAAACGATAAGTATCATCATGTGTATCAAGTATGTATAATGATATTATTATGGTGCATTGTGTTTCGCTCGCTCACGAATTTGCATTGCATATAATATATTTCATAGTTCCGTTTGAAAAGTAGGTTGCCTTATATTTGATACCTTTGTTTGAAAATCATAATTTAGGAAGTGCAGTTTTCGTGATTAATTAGGTTGTCCTTTGTTGGTTTTGTATTTATATAGGAGTACGATTATTAAAAATGAAATTTTTAAAACGATTTCTGCATACAAAATACATTCACTATAAAAAGTATGTTAAGTGAACGATCAAGTGGGATACGTCTTAAAAAGTCATACGTTTTGTTTTTCTGTGTTTGCTAGGAAGTACATTGAAATATTACGGATTCATCGTCGGTTTGAAATAACGATCAATGATATATTTTATACTCTCGGTAAACCAAATGTCCACTAGCATAGCGAAGAAGAAATAGAAAAATATTAGAACGGTTTAACCATTTTTGGAGTACCAGTGGCAAATTAATTAAATAAGTATTAGAAGCAATATAATCAACACAATGCTACGGACGAAAATAAATTTAGACTAGAATCGGGAGGATGCGCAAATATAGGAGACATATGATTAATGATCGATATGATTGGATAGTGGATGGACGACCAACGATGAGACGGAAAGGTTCGTTAATCTGTTGAGAAGAAGAAGATTATTTTATTAAAATAGGTACGAACAAATAGGAATATTTAATTATTTATCGTCGCATATCGACAAAACTGTTCAGAAACAGAGCCAAGTAATAGGAGATGTTAATACATTAGTTCTGTCAACTAACGCATACCAGTTGGGATGTCAGGTTTTTTAGACCCCTAAATCACTATCCGTCGTGGGCAGACTGTGACTATTCAATTTATGAGTTAGATAAAAGTTGACAACATGAAACAAATATTATTAAAGAAAATAAATAAAGCCTATTTAATAATTTTAAATCAACTAAACTCCGTTCAGAATCGTTTTTTCATAATTTTTTTGATTTATTGTTGCTTACAGGTATACATTAAATTATCTATAACAGTGGCCGCACCCGTCCTCATTACCCTAAGACGTCTTCTTAGACACTTAGAATATAATATAATTTTTAACCAATATCCATATTAATTAAGTCATGTGACGACAAAATAAAAAATGGTATGAAACTGATATATGTTATACCTATAGTCGCTTATTTTTGTGAACATTCCGTGACTTACATGCAAACAATTTTTAAACCTTAGATATTGAACGCAGAATTTAAAAAAAAGTATTGAAAGTTTTCCAAAATGTTTTTTTTTTTTTTTTATTGAACAAAAAGAAACAGAGGCCATTAGTTATAATAGTACATTAATTTAAATTAATTAAATATATTACATTTGTACAAAAATTCTTAAATTAAATTGTACAGTTTGGTATCCTTTAAAAAGTTGACTATGTTGGTATTTGATTGGAGGTCTGATTGTAGAGCTTCACTAAGTTGGTAAGGAATGGAGTATTTGGATCTTGAGTCTGCATATTTGAGACAATCAATGATTATATGTTCGACTGTGCATTCCACTCCGCATGTTTCGCATATGGGTGGGTCTTTTCTAGCCATGAGGTGGTTGTGTGTTACGAAGTTATGTCCAATTCGAAGACGATTAATAATGGTTTCATCTTTTCTATTTAAGCCGGGGTTTCTCTAAACTTGGATATTGTTTTTTATTGCATTTAATTTGGTGTTTTGTTTTGACCAGTGTTTTTGCCATTTATGAAATAGAATCATCTGTGTAAGTTTTTTTAAATCTGTATAGGTATTAAAATTTAGAATATGGGTGTCGGAAGATGAGGCTGCTTTGGATGCTTCTTGATCTGCTAATTCATTACCATCGATTCCACAGTGTCCGGGTATCCATAAGAAGACTATTTCTATTCCTTTTTGATTTATTTCATAGGTTTTTTCGTGAATAAGTTTGGATATATCTGATGGATTTGTAAGGTTATTTATGCCAGATANTCTTGATTTACTAATTCATTGCCATCAATTCCACAGTGTCCAGGTATCCATTGGAAGGATATTTCTATTCCTTTTTGATTTATTTTATAGGTTTTTTCGTGAATAAGTTTGGGTATATCTGATGGATTTGTAAGGTTATTTATGCCAGATAAGCTGCTGAGAGAGAGAGTCACTTAGAATTAAATATGTCTTGTGCGACGTTTCTTTATTTGTGATTATATTTTGTAGAGCTTTAAATATAGCTAATGCTTCGGCTGTGTAAATAGAACATACAGGGGGAATTTTGTAGGACGAGGAGGAGTTTTCTGTTATTATAGATATTCCAACTTTTTGGTCTGTTTTAGATGCATTAGTGTAGATATGTTTGAAGTTAGGGTATTTTTGTAATGTGTTTTGAAAGACGTTTCTGAACACAATAGGACTGGTGTTTTCTTTTTTGAATTCGGAAATTTCTAGATTTATGTCAAAGTAAGTTTTCCACGGAGGGAAACTAGGGGGTTTTGTTTTTATTAGGTGTTGTAATTCTATGTGGTATTCTTCAGCTTTTGTTTTAATTTGATATCACCTGAAAATTGAATATTTTACAATTTTAATTTTTTATGTGCCGAAAACAAAAAAATGAATGGGATGAAATAGAAAANCCATATTCAGCTTTAGATCTAATTAATGCTCTGTAAATCTTTAATAGTGAAGAGGTGTCGCCGCCCCAGGATGTATGTGAAATGATGTTTATTATATTGAGTTTTTGTATTAATGACGTTTTTGTGGATTTTTAGTGGGGTAGCCAACTGAGTTTTGCGTCGAATATCATGCCGAGGATTTTGATTGTGTTTTTAGTTGGGATAATTCTGTTGTTTATTTTTAACTGAGGTATTTCTTGGTTTCTTTTTTTTGAAAATAAAATAAATTGGGATTTCTCAATGGAAAAATTGAAACCAGTAATGTAAGACCACTTTGTAAGACTGTCAATGGTTTTTTGTAGGTAATATTGTACCGTCTTTGTGTTTTGGCTTCTGATTATGATGTTGAAATCATCTGCGAATAGATCGGCAGTTACAGGTGTCCTTATTGTTTCAACGATGTCATTTATTGCTAATAGAAAAATAGTTACTGCCAATGAGTATCCTTGGGGAATACCGTTTTGTTGTGGGAAAGGGGTTGAAAATGAATTTGAAACTAAAACTTGGAAATGCAGATCAATAAGGAAGTCGTTTATATAATTATACTTATTACCGCATGCAAACAATTTTTAAACCTTAGATTTTTATTAGATATTGAACGCAGAATTTAAAAAAAACGTATTGAAAGTTTTCCGCAATGTTTTTGTTTCTCGATCTAGTGTGTAATTTTAGCTTAAATTTTATTTGAGTGTGTGTATATATTTTATACCACAATATATTAATTATATTATTGACTTTCACTCTCCGGATTTTCAGAAATTGTAATATCTTCTGCGGAGAAAAAATGGCCATTAAAAACGTTTAAAAAAAAAAAAAAAAAAAACCGAAATACCGATTATTTATAATATATACTCGTATACATCACAGTAATATTTTTTTTTCGTATTTTTTTACGTCTACATTTCAATTCTGTCGGTTTCTACACATATTATTATACAGAACTATATAAATATAATAATGGACGATGTACAATTCGTATAAATCTATTTCATCGTCAGAAATGTAAAAATTGATTTCCCATAAACGCCGTTTTCGTAACCGATATTTTTTCTCTCCTCTATACAAACAGTGTAAATATAATATTATTGAGAGTCTTTAATTTTGCCACACTGACACTTAACAAGATTCAATTTATCCTATTACTTTATAATAATATCATGTTATTGTAGGCTCTATTGATGTTACAATAATATATATTTGGATTTTAACCTTTTCGAGTGCCAAGTACGAGATTTGTTTAAGTCGGTTTTTCTTAAAGTATACGGTTATGTTTCCATAGCAAAATATATATCATTTCAAAATACCTGTAAAAACAAATACCCGCTAACTTAGTAAACCTCGTATTATTGTCAAACAATTATGTTCGGACGAACAATTTTATCCGAACATAAATAAATCATAATTATAATTAAACCAAATGAACACTAAAAAAACTCGATAATTTCAAATGTTTATAAATAGTCAAGAAAAATACTTAGAAACTATACTAAAAAAACAAGTCATAATATTTTAAAAATTTTACCCCATTTTGAAAATGCAAATATAATTATTCTATGAAAATGTCAGGTCTTCGCGATTATTTTTAACCGAATTACAGCAAAAAACAATACCGAAAATAATTAAACCGTTATTATTGTAAATTATTCTGTTTTTTCCTACGGTTTTTCCGAATTATTGAGAAAACTGCATCGAAAATAAAATAACGACTTTCTTATACTTCAATTAGAAAAAAAAGATGCTACTTTTGACATTTGTAACAACATCTCATTGGCATTAAGGAAGAGACTCGGGTTCGATTCGGGCCCGGCGTCATATTATCTCGTTTTATACAAACGAGAATCGTGTTGGAATATACTTACCGTTCTCCGGAATCTCGGTAGTCTGATAATCTCCGGTAGAAATTCAACCTACATCCTGTAGAAAAACGATGAACAGCGTCATTATAAACGCCAGTGTAAAGTATATAAAGGTTTAGGTACATGTACGTTTTTTTTTTTAAAAAATAAAAAAGAAATAACCACCGTGGTATGAAGGTAAACGCCTGCGGCAATCATAACATATTATTATAAAAGAACTTGCAAATCATCGTTGCGCGTCGTAGGCCGGGGAATTTCTAGACGATGGGAGTCGCGGCGGAAAATGCGCGGATTCGCAGTGGCCGTTTGCCGCGTCGACAGTTTTCTAAAGATTTTAATTAATTATATCTATATAGTATTATTATAAGTAAATATAAACGCGAAAATGAGAAAAAAAATCCGGTCCACTATTGAAAAAACGTGCGCAGTCCCGACCCACATATTATAGAGGTATTAAGTATGGGTACGCGAAACGGCCTTGTGTTGAAGCCGCGAGTATGTACGCACGTCTCGTGTGTGTGTTTTTTTTCGTTACTTTTTTTTTTTTTCTACGATGACGAAGAATAATAATAACGAAAAATATAATAATAACAATAACGATAAAGACGGAGACAGAGACAGAGAGAGAGAACGGAAGAAAAAAACGGCCGATACATTGTGTTTTTACACGCGCGCACGCGAGATATAGCGTCAGGGCAATGGGAATCGTGGTGTCGTCGGGCACGCACGTCGTATAAAGACGGTCCGGTAAGTTGGGCGTACCGTCCGTAATACACAGGTAGGTTGGGTTTGGTGTATACGTAAATTCCGTTTCGAGACGAATCGGCAGAAAAATGTAGAGTACACAAAAAAAAAAAAAATTAAAAAAATATACCATATACGCGTCGCCCGGACGAAAGGAAATCTTCGGGGAACAAAAACGATATTTAATAACCGACTCCGGTTATAATTCGCGCCTACGCGACAATATTGATAATGCGAAAACGTACGCGAGACGAAACTCGGTCGTCGCCGGACGGGAAGAGAGAGAAAGAAAAAACGGACGTTTCGGGAAAAAAAAAAAAAAAAAAAAAAACGCGTACAGAAACGATTCACAGTCGTACATTACTATATACTCGTATTCACGCCGTATATTTTATTATTATTGTATATGTTCGCCACGCGATTTATCAACGAGGCCCCCGGACACGGACGTCCATTCCGCAGCCGTTTCTTCTCGTTTTTTGTTGTGCGTGCACCGCGATATTGTATACCCGCGAAAAATACACAATGTGTACTTAACTCGCATACGTCCGTTATTGTACCGTGTACTTTTCGGATACGGCGAGGACGCGTACGACGGCACCTAATAACGATAATAATAATAATAATAACAATAATAAAGCGTCGACGTACTCTATGTGCCGCGGGCGCTTGTCCGGATGTTTATACGGACGCGGGAATTCCTCGGTCGGTCGCGTGTCCGGCTATGCGATTCCGCGGTGACACGGTATGCGCTCGAAAATGGCGAAAAAAAAAAAAAAAAACATTCACGACGTCGTAAACGGTTGTCACATAATAAACCGCGCGTAATCTGCACGCGCGCGACGCGACTTTTCCGCAGTGACGGACGGTCTCTCGGCTACGGGTCGGCGCGCTATTAAAATATTATTGCGACGGCAGCGGAAACGGAACGTTCGGACACGCGAACGGCGCCGTCGACGAAACTCGCCGGGATAAAACACTAAAACGATGCCGTGCCGGCAAAACCCGCGCGTAAACCCGTAGTTCGCGCACGTTTATGCCGCGGTGGCGGTATCGCCGGATTGCGTTCGACGGAGACGACGGCGACGGTGGTAACGATTAAAACGGTTAGAACGGATCACTCGCAACCGTACTGATATTTGTTATTAATGCGCGAGTTCGTTTGGATGTTATCGCTTTTCCAGCCGAACCGCCGGACGAGCCGAGCCGAAACTTCGCATTGGCGTGATTCGAGGACGGGTTATACAATGCTACAGGCTGCTTTTTACCGCGCGCTCAATCCCGAAAGGTGGACCGTGTCGCGCGGGGTTGTTGTTATTTC